ATGAGCCTTATAACCTCGACGGTGGTTAGGGTGGGCTCCTCCACGCTATCGACCGAGTATACAAAATCATCCATATATAATCCACTTTCAATTGCCCTCTTAGCTTTAGGATAAGAGGGACCTTCATCGTGGGCGAGCTGTCTCACCGTGCGTAACGCATGAAATGGGCTCGACTTTAAACCAAAACAAACGCGGCTAAATTCAAACACCATTAGAGGTTCCTTTGGGTTGAAACGATATAAAATGCGTTGGAACCTACGGTCGCATTCACGGACCCCTATGCAAAGAAACATTTGGCGAATATCGGCGGATAGTGCTATACTAAACAAACGAAAATTGGCTATTATATTAAATAAACTGCCCTGTAAATTTTGCCCACTATAGAGGATATCGTTAAGCGACAGGTGAGTGCTAGTTTTAGCACTAGCGTCGAGCACTACACGTAACTTAGATGTAAGTTTGTCCTCCCTAATGACCCCGGTGTGGTATGAAATACGACGGTGTGTCTTCGTAGTTATCTAATTTCGAAGCCACAAGTGATATGTAACCTTCTCTTATATATTCGTTAATGACGCCGTCATAAGCTTCCTTTAACTGGGGTGAAGCGAGCATCCTACGCTCCAAGCTGTAGAAACGTTTTTCCGCCATTTGACGCGAATCGCCGAGAGATAAAACATCTCCTTTAAAGGGTAGCGCTACACTATATCTACCGTCGCGATCACGAACGGTCGTGCGGACGTAAATTTCCTCGCATAACCTGTCATCTGAACTAGCTATGGGTGGGACGTTCACCTCCTCCATCTCCCAAAATTTGCGGACTAACGACTCGAGCGGTTCGACAGCCATACCACAATAAGAGGTTGCCGAAATACTATCTATGATGGGGGCGGAGCCAACGATAACATAGCCCAATACGGTTTCCAGTGCGTAAGGCGCGGTATGCGAGGAGTTGCCCCTGACCTTATTGTTTAACAAAAGATGAGGGAAAAGCGATGCTCCAATGAGCATGTCTATGTTTCCAGGAACGGCGTAAGTGTCGTCCGCTAGAGTCAAATTTTTAAATTCAATCATTGCCGAGGTGTCAACCGAAACGGTTGGCAACCGTTCAGTGACCCTATCTACTACTAGCGCACTTATATCAAAGTTAACGTTACGATCTATCCGAGAATAAAATTTTAAATTTATATATCCCTGGGTAGCTTTACTAGTACCTCCAATGCCTTTGACTACAGGACATGAAAGTGACCTATTTATTACTAAGCCTAAGCGCTGACAACATTGTCGCGTTATAAAGCTATTTTGGGCTCCGCTGTCCAGCAGTGTACGGACGCTTTGTTCGTTTCCACGCGAATCCCTAACCAAAATACGCGCCGTACCCAGTAACACGATTGAAGGAGGTTGTGCTCCCATATTTGCCAATGAGCACAGAGCGACATCACCAGGTCGACCGCTAGAATCGTTGACTTTAGTAGGGGTGAATTCCTTGTCCGCTTTACTTGACGCCGCTATGTTGCTATTTTCAAAATGTAATAGCGTGTGATGTTTCCTGGCGCACTTGCTACATACGGAACTCGAATTGCATTTTGCAACTAAATGCTTATCACTTAAGCAGTTCAGACATAGGTTGTTTGTCTTTACTAATTTATAACGTTCGCTTGGTGAATATTTACGAAAAGTCGCACAATTATATAAATTACCGTGTTTATCTTTACATACGATGCAAGCATGCTGAAGTGATGCTGACGTAGCGGTTACGTAAGTTAACGACCCTGCTGACATCTAAAATAGATGGTTGAGTCTGTCTACGGTCGACGCACCTTTTAATCTCCTGTTTAACGGTCGGAGAGCGCTGCATCACCTTTATTTGATCTCGCACGAACGATGCTAATGAATGAAAGGAAGGCATCTCCGAGCTACGATGCTCCATTTCAAACGCACGCACGGTGTCGGGGTCTAATTTCTTTAGTGCAATATGGAGAAACACCACGTCCATAAGGTCATTAAATTTCAAATTCTTAAGTGCAGCCACCGATGCCACAATATTATCTAAAAACTGCTCTAAGCCGTTGATGTTCGCGGATGATATAGGTTTAAGATCGAATATCTGGTTCAAATATTCGTAAGCTAACATTCTCCTATCTTCATATTTAGTTTTAAGCGTTTCGAATAATAACAAGTAATTGTTTGCTGTAGGTGTAAAACCCGAGCAAATTGACTGTGCCCTGGCAGGGCACAGTCAATTTGCTCGGGTTTACTAATTAAATAAGTTTACTAATTAACTATTATATTATTATTACTAAGTTTACTAATTAAATAATATAATTTTTCAGCGTCCGATAACGATGGGTTATTGTGTATATTGTTTTGAAAACTACTGAAGAAGAAGGGCCATGTCTTAATATCACCATTGAATACCGGAATATTTATTGGCGGCAACCTAATTGAGTCACGTGGACGTACCTGTATTTTCGGCTTTGCTTCGTTTTGAGATTGTAAGAGTTTCTCCGTTCTTTTCACGCGACACAACATATCTTCAAATGCTAGAAGCGATTGGTAGTTCACTATGTATTTCGAGTCGATTTGTAATTCCAAATGATTAATATGGTCTAATATTCTTTCGTAATCCGTCCGCAAAGAATCCACCGTTTCAATTTCATTCAAAAAAGTTTCCCGCACTGCTTCTACATTGATGTTCTTTATGTGATCACTAATACTTTGTATACGTGAAAAAAGTATGTCCCTCTTGGCATAAAGCGTTTTAATTTTAATTTCATTTCCACTAACTGCCATTTTAAATTATTATAATAAAGTTATATTAATCACAATTAATCTCACAACGCACAAATAATGGAGGATGGACACTCGTATGCCGTATTACGTAATTAAATCGAACACCTGTTACAGCGAGTCGAGGTGACGCGTGTCGCTCGCTAAACTCAATATATTTTTATCAAAATTGTCGGGTAAGCGTACAAAACGATTGCGATTACACTGTTTCAATTATTTAAGCGACTAAGAAGCTTTAAATTTAAACCAAATACAAACACTATTTTAATGAATGATTCTATTTTTAAACGAATACAAGTCTATTCTATAAATTAGAGTGCATTATCTAAATAATTAATCTAATAATTCGACCAGAAAATGGTTGAACGACTACTAAACACCAGTCCAAATCCTGCCGAAGTGACCATAAAATGGTGGAGCGTCGAGCCTAAGGTTGCCGAAGTCTAATTCCCCGGTCGAACCTTAAAACCTCTTACGCGAGCTATTAATCTAAGTGGACTGTATCTACAAAATGTTTCTACACTTGCGTTGTATATATGTTACTAGCATGCGGTACAATGCACTCGCTCTTCCCTAAAACGAACTATTATTTGCCAAATCGATGAAAGGAATCCTGCTTGATTAGGAGAAAACAAAATTGGAGCGGGTTAAAACACAATTATATCAAGCAGGCAATATTATTAGGAATATTGACTCACCGGGGTGTCTCTTCTCTGCTGTTGGGCACTATAGCTGCGACTTCTGGAACTTCTTCTGGACAGACACTCTGGGGCCCCAGAGATACGTCGGGAGAGAAGCGGTGTGGTTTCAACGACGAGCGCGTCAGGAAGAGCTCTTTAGGACACTATTATCCTAGGCGGTGTAGTTCCAACGATGAATGCGTCGGGAAGAGAGTGCGCGTCGGTTGCGCGTGCCTTTTATACCTTCGGTTGCGATGATTACGTGATATTCTAGAATCATCTTCTTTCTTTCCACCCCACCACCCCGATGTGTCGATAGGAGGGTATGAATGATATCGTTTTGGAAAGGGATAACCGATTTGGCAGCCTACCGTCAAAATAAATAAATACGAATGGTTTTCCGCGCAACCAGTGTCCATCAAGCTGCTCAAGAAATTTCAGAAATAAATTTACGGCCGTTAAAAAGGAACTTTTAAGGAGGTGCAGGTGCGAACATCTTTTATGAAAATTGCTTTTTAATTAAACTTTAAATCCGTTTCTTTTGTTTCATTTTTCTCTTAACTTCCAGCTCCAAAAACCTACATTTAGTTATTTGAGTGCACTTAAATGACATAATACAAAAAGAAAATTAAATAATTTATTAATCAAAGCAGGTTATGAGGACCCATGTAGGTGGTAGCAGAGTTTATAACAACAGACACGTAATATTGTAAGCATCATAGTGTTGCAAAACGGATAATAATTCATGTTGTATTACCAAAACAAAATAATAATAAAAAAACTAAACTTGTCTTTGTACTACAAGAATTACAATATCTCTGAACATACTTGAGCGAATTTGATGATGGGTACCATTTTAGAATCTTCATTAAGTGGGCAAGTTTTGTTGATTTTCCAACAAGAAACTCTTGTGCAATTTTTTTGTAACTTAGTCCACTATACAGGAATCTGGAAAGAATATTGAACTACCGATTATTTCTGTTTCAGTAAAAGACCTACAAAAAAAATGGAAGGGTTTGCGCGACTATCACACTAGAGAAAAAAATAAGGATTCCTCAGTCAAAAGCGGAAGTAGGGCAACAAAAAAAACGCAAGACACCATACTTGGACATGTTACACTTTTTAAATGTTTCTAGAGCTAGCAACCAGACATCTGGCAATATTAGCGCCGAGACGTCTAGCGACAGTAGCGCTATTGTAGATGAAAATGATTCTACTGACTCGGTAGTTAATGTCAGTAGACCAAAAAAGATAACTGTGTTTCAAGAAGCACTAATTAACTCGATGGAAAAAAAGAGAAAACGATCCAGATATGAACTTTCTACTAAATATTTTACCGGAAATGAAGACAATGTCCCCAACATAGAATTTTGAATTTCGGTTCGAAGTGATGAAAATTATTAAAAATATAAAATATAGTGTACATAATAATTATGACGGTGGTATGATGCAAACTGGATGGACGAATGCCTACCAGTACCCACATCAGTATGGCTATGCGAGTGGAAGCAGCAGTACACCAAATGTGCAAAACTACCCTCGAAACAGTCCATCACATAGCTCTACAGGTTCTTCAGTAGTAGTAGTAGAAGACATAGAAGCAATATTGCGAGGCGATTCAAACCACATTGAAGATGAGGAATGACTGGTTACCAACTTAATGTTACCATATTGGTTCCTAATTAAATTTAATAATACAGTAATTTTGAAAAGTGATTGTTAAATTAAAAACTATAAATGCGAAAGTGACTTTGTATAAAAATAAAAATTACATATTTTTTTTTTTAAAATACTAAAGCGTTAATTATTTACTTACCTCAAAGTTATAGTAAGCCGTTCTTCGGGACATAATGTATCTCTTGTGATATTATTTTTAGCTATGTACTGGGTTATAGATTTCAACAATTCATCAAATGTATGAGAAGTCATATTGAAATAGTCGTTAAATTTTTCTGGATGTTTCCTTAGTACTGGGTAAAGAGTGTGGAATTGTCCAATGCTCAACCTTTTCTTGTATAATGGGTGAACCCAGTGCTTCCTTTTATCCTCTTTCAGCGCTTCTAAGATACCAATTCCTTCAAAAATATCCATCGTGACCAACACAAACACTCCCTTCGTACAACAAAAGTAAAGTGATAATTCAGTCGGTCGGCTAAATAAGCGGCTAACTCTTAACAGTTTGCTTGCGACGTGTTGATATATCGATAACGTAAAATAACTACAAAATAAGCAACACTAAACTAAAATAGGCAACACTATTTTGTTTTTGAGCTTTGGCGTACAGGACACGGTAATGCGTTTTTGGCGTGGCGCCCAAAAGGTTAAAGTTTAACAAAACGCTACTGCACAATTTAACTGTTCTTAAAAATACATTTCAAATAGCGTTTAAATAAATAAAGGAAAATATATTTTAAAAAGTGTGCAGAACTTAAAGCGTCTCAAAGATTGTTTTTTTAACGATATTATAAATCGAATAGAAATCGATATCTTTTCATCGATTTTATGTCAGTTAAGTGGCAACATCGAGTCTGACAGCTAGGCCCTGTCATTAGAATGAAATCACAATTCACAATTCAGTTCACAACTATATCTATACCTATATAAATAGTCACATGTAGAATTCATTTGTGTGTTATTTTGTTTGTTTTTATTTTTGTGAATTTGTTATCGAAGTAACGAACAAGCCTTATAAATGGACTCTGACATTTTTTCCCACCCTACTGACCACGGCCTGAACATGGACCCCGCACCCGCTTCCTTCAATAACCCCTGCACGAACTTGGACTCGATATCCACTGTTAACAATGATCCCAGCTTCCACGCCGGCCAGACTTCTTTCCAGCCCTCGGTAACTCATTCAAGAGGACATTTTCGCTCTGTAAATTGTTTAAATATAGCGAAAACACGAAGGCATTTGTTGGAAATTCCAGAACTGCGAAATCTTATACAAGAATAGGTTCGACCACAGCAGGTAAATAGTTACAATCATGATTGTGTCATGTCTTCCTTTTCTTAATTCTACAATTGCAGCAATGCTTATTAACTGAGTTGTCTTATAATTATGTAAATTGATATAATAATTATGGCTTCTTTATTAGGTACAAGTTTCGAGTGATAGCGTAGTATGCCACGCATGTTAGACTGCAGCCTGGAATCGAATATGACATCCAACTAGCGAACAGGAAAATTCACCAATTATTAGTCATGGACACGTATGTATCAGCTGTGGCAAGTCACTTTTGAGAATAAGATCACACACATTGTTTGGGTCTGATTCTCCATGTGAGGAACTCATAAGGAATGAAATTGCCCATCAAATTGCACCACATGAGGTACGTGTTTTTTTAATTTATTAAGTGTGTGTGCTCATATCTGATAGTGATACATGTTTTTACTCTGATTACATCCACACAAACTATATCCGACAAACATACAAGCTTATTTATAATATGGCAATAAGATTAGCTTGTCACCACCAGATATACTGCTACCGTTTTTACCAACTACCAAGTAATGAGACAATTGATTTTTCATTGTTTTTGCTCTACTGGTAGTTTTTAAGTGCTTAATTATTAAATAATATAGGCCATTAAGTCTGCTTTTGTGCAGTAACAATTAACTTGATAAATATTTTATATGTATTTGAGTTTAAAGGAAAGAAATCTATTTTTTATTTAGTTCACTTTTTCACTTTTGTATTTAATATTATTTCAGTTGCCATCGTCATCTCCTGTGTGTCATAATTGTTGGCGAAGGTTTGATAGAGCAGCATTCACATTCAACTGCAGAACGGGAACCATCTGAATCATCTAGTTCATCCTCGTTTCAATCTGAAGTCGGTAATGTATTGCACCCATAATCAAACATTCTAATTTCAATAGAGAATGAAGCTGGGTACTCCCACCTGCTTGGGACCCTGTAATTAATAAAATTAAAACTAAACCCAAGCATACCACGCAAGATTTCAAGACAGTAAGTTCATTCTACGTAGATCGGACCATAAATAGTTATTAAAAAGCTGAAGTTACTCCAAGTTAACACTGATTTCGGTACACCAGTCACCTCAATCCCCCATGACCATGTGTGTTGGAAAGCACCCGAAACATCGGGAATTAAAAATCAAAGAAATTAAACGCGATAACATAGGTAAAATTAGTTGTTAAAAAACTGTATTTGTGAAAATAAAAACTTTTATATCTTAAAATTCCCGACTTTTTTTAAACCAATTTCTTAACCTTTTCATTCGTTTAATTGTATATTATCATATCTATATGCTTTTATATGTGGGCACCCATGGCCGAAATGTCTATGAAGAGTGGGCAATGCCCTTTGCGGCTCACTCAGTCAGCCGCTAACTGTTTGCCTACTGGGGACGCAGCCTAATACTATTGAGTATTTTTTAGATAGTACATAAATTATCGGCGACAAGACCCCATTCGCACTCCTGGGTGCACGTAGTTGTAAGAAAAGCTGACTGATGACGAATTGTGTTTTGTGAATAATTTATAAGACTATCATACTATAATATTATTTCCTAATTAGTAGAGTAAGGAAAATTATATCGTATTAGGACATAATAAGTTAGTTTTTGATAATTTATAAGGGAGTTTTTAAGCAAAATTTTGTATTGTAAATACTTACGTAACTCGAAAAAATGTAAATTTTTATTTATTGAGATATCGTTTGGAAACTAGACTCAAATTAAATGTAAGACACTAAACACAAAAGGAATCAAGTACAAACATATAGAGATTTAGCAATTTTTCTATTTTTATATATATATATTAAGATAGTCGAAATCCAAAGACATATATATATATATATATATATATATATATATATATATATATATATATATATATATATATTATATATATATATTGTATGGATTATATGAAAATTATAATATATAAAGGCTCCGAAGGTTTCAGCTGAAAGTACAAAGACATGCAAAGGGAGGCAAAACCTCATAAGGGTCCGTACGGTAACGCCGGCCGGTATAATAGTAGAAGATTTGCTGCTTTCATTGTACCAGTTAAAATTAAACTGTTCAAGGCTTACTGCCAATCATTTTATACCAGCAGCCTCTGGGCCAATCATACCCAAAAGGCAAGCAATACCCTGCGTATTCAATATAACAATGCCTTCAGGTTATTGTTGGGGCTTCCACCTCATTGTAGTGCATCAGGCATATTCGCCGATGTTAATACTGATGACTACTTCGCGATCATGCGTAAAAAAGTGAAGTCATTGATGCGCAGAGTGAGGGGGAGTATCTTGAGGATCTTTGCGGAGAGGCTTGATGGCCCGACACTAGGTAGGTTTGTAAAGCTACATGTACTAAATTGAGTTTGATAAATCTATCAATTTGTATGCATTTATTGAATTTTTATTTTTTATTTTGTTTTATTTAATTGTTTCGTGTACTAACATTAGTTCTTAAGTTTTATTTGTATTACTAAAATGCTAGGGCCTACGATGCCTGAAAAATAAAACATTTATTTTCATTATTTATTTATTTATTTATAAAGGGTGAGCCGATTTCGGCTCAGGCAGTCGCAGCTAGGTATGGGTCATTGACGGATTTATAGTTAATGTAATTTAACTGTTAATCATTAATGGTCAACAGGTTTAAAAAGCTGTTAAATAATTAACAGGTTGTAAAAATTTATTTGTTAGCAGTTCTATTCAATTATTACTTCAACGCTTTCGATCAATAACAATTAACAATTTTGTGACAAATTAAGTTTAAGTTGATGATTATTGATTTAATAAGAATTTAGATTACTTTTATTTTTATTCAACTGGAATGACCTTTCCTTCTTACTTTTTCCAGGCTTAGGACTAGCTGTGTAAAAATAGTACCCAGGCGTACTTAAAAGATCATCAGATCTGATTGTATTTACATTAATCATAATATTTTTTGTTTTTTTTTCCTTTGTTCTATTTACAATTACTTACATATTAAATTTCATAGCCTGCAAAACGGTCTTCATCTAAGTTAACATTTAAAAATAGCAGTATCTCTATTTTGCTAGTTGTTAGTCTAGTTCTCCTTTGATTGACAATCAGCCCCGATTTGGAGAACATTCTTTCGCACGGCACTGATGTTGCGACTATGTTACATTTTTCTATGTAAATTTTGCCCAAGTTTGAATAAATAAAATTGTGAGTTCTCCACCATTCCAAAGAATTGTTCCAGTCACCAGAAGTATTTGTCCTTGGTAATAAGTCATCAGCCAAATAGGTGTCCACTTCTTTTATGGCTTTTGATAATGGAGTGCCTGTGATAGAAGGTGCCCCTATTATTTGATCAAAAATATCCCGCGGACTGCATTTGTTCCTAGTTCTTGTCGACTCACTTTGATTAGAAGTTTGGGCTAGTGTTGCAGCACCATTTTTGGATATTTCGTTGGCCACGAGTATATAGGTTCACGAGGATAATATTAAGGAACACATTAAGAGCCTCTTCAATTTTAGAGGGAGTATTTTGTCATTCCCATTTAAAAAAAGCATGGGAGTATGTTGCGGGCCTATGTTCAGCAGAACCTTTAAAAATATGCACGAATGGGGGCCGGCTCGACCGGGGAAGGACGGCCTTCCACAAGCTCAACCTCATGAACACAGCGGGACACTGAAGGCTGCGACACATAAGTGTTGATATTTTTGCCGCATATTCTTTGGTAACTACCACTAGCAAGGAACAACAGTGCACATAATACCTGAAAAATATACCAATAATTACATGAAACATCTGTTTTTGTAAGCTAATAATATTATAGGGTCTCTCATTTAGATTGGTATGGTGGAGACCACTTGACTTCAGTGACGTCATAACTACAGCCGCTTATCTAAGTTATGCAAAGTACTTTTTACTTTCATGGCAGCCACTTATACACTTATACTTACACAGTTATGCTTAAAGAAGTTGGATTTTTCTATAAAGTCTGTGTTTATTAAATACTCTAAATTCACGAAAGTTTTGACTATTGACGTGGTGGCGGACGCATAAATATAGTATATACCCAGTTTTGTATCAAATTTTTAAAAATTGATATCATATTACGGTCACTTTAGTTTCCTGTGAACGTGTTTTATCGAAAGCTAAGTACATAATAAATGATGGAATGACAAGACTAATCACAGCCAAAGTAGCACAAATAATATTTCTGAACATTAATAAAATATAACTAATAATCATGTCTACATAGGATTATTACGTACATGTCTACATAATAAAGGAATAAAATAAAAAAATATTAAAGGAAAAAAATATAAAACATTTATATTAAATGTAAATACTAAATACATAATAATCACTGTAAGTAATAAACAATTTATTGTAAATCATAACATAATATAATGTAAATATTGAATTAATAAACCTTTAAAAAGCCTAGCTTAATATTATTTTAATACTAAAGAGCTAGCTATTAAAGTGAAGAAGCAATAAAATTAACACAACCGGTTAAAAGTATAAATTTACTACAACAGTAAGTAATATATTTAACTGTTAATTTAATCTCTTAAAAAATTAACAGTTAACTTTTAACAAATAAATAAATTTAACCATTAACGCCATGTCTACTCGCGTAACTACTAATATTTCCAAATGCGTTGAGGGCGTTGACGTAAATTGACGGCTAATACTATCAACCTATTTTTTCATTAATGATTAACAGTTAACACATTGACGAATGAAAAGCTGTTAAAAGAAACAGTTTATTGATTCAACGCCCACCTCTAGTCGCAGCACAGATGTCGAAGAGGCAACAACAGGAAGAAAAAGAGAAGCCGAAACCTGCGGAACAAGAAGCAACCTAGGAAAAGTGTTTAATTTCGCTGCCTCCCGGCAGTTAGTCTCTCTCTCGAGGTCCCAGTAGGTCGTACTATACTACATACGCATTCAAGGGTGCATGGGACGTGCCTCACCAAAAAAGGCAAAAGGAGCGTACGTCACCTAAGTGGAAATTGTCCCAGGGCGACTGTGCGGGCACTAGACGTGTCCCTGCCGTCAACAAAATAGTTGGTCCTTCGAGCAGGATCCCTGCTAGAAGAGTGCAGAAGAATATAGAAGAATCAGAGGATTGCGTTCAAGATGCCGCTTACTAGGTCACAAAAGGATGATCCCTCACGTACCGGTTCCTGTCCCTCAGATAAGGACACGACAGGTGAAATGTCGGGATCAGAATGGGTCAAGTGTGCGTCAGTATCAGCATCATCAGGAACAACAACCACGTCGGATTCAAACACTTCTAAGGGAACTACGACCACAGAGGTCACCACCACGACAGAGACCACGGTTGCAACTGCCACCACGGTGGCGTCCGAGAAGAACAGACAGAAGAATGAAGCCGCACAGAAGAAGACGACCAAGAAGACTCGAGAGAATATTCCACACAAGGGCTTTCATGGCTCTACCACAACCCTAAGCCAAAGGGTGTCGGTCGCCGTGCCAGGTCCATGAAGACTACGAGCTCCTCAGCCGGAAGACGCAAGCTGGAAGCCAGAGAAGAATTAGCACACATGGAGCTGAAGCAAGCCCAAGCTGCGGCGTAGTTAGCCCGTGTCAAATTAGAGCTGGCACAGTGTGAAGAGGACTCCGTGGATGAAGATCAGGAAGACAGAACAGCACAGATGCAGAACTGGATCGAGACATCAGTATTGGAAGAAGAGAACATGGGAAAACACGAGCGACGGGGTCAGTATCCTCCGGAAGAGCCACAGAATGTGAAGCCTGAAGAGAACACCTCAGCGAAAAGAGGTGTGAGCGAGATTCAAGTGCTGGCAATAGTATTGAAGGAAGCCCTTACCGAAAGAGGAGGAACAGTAGCTCAGCCGAATTATATCCACGAGTTACCCTACTTCGATGGCAACAGCAGCGAGTAGTTGGCCTTCAAGGTTGTCTACGAAGATACCGCCCCGATGTTCAACGAAGTCCAAAATATGAATCAACTAAGAAGAGCACTAAAGGGCAACACAAGAGAAGCTATCAAGAGCCTGCTGTACTCTGAAACCTCTCCGTTGGAAGTGATGCAGGCCCTCAGAAGACAACATGGAAGACCTGATACGCTGGTGCTGGCTGAATTGAATAAGGTCAAGGTGTTACCGAAGATTTCCGAAAATCCAAGGGATATATGCGTCTTCACAAACCAAATCAACAACAGCGTAGCAACAATAAAGGGTTTGAAGAAACCACGGTACCTGCATTCACCTTAAATGGTGAAGAAAATTATAGAAAAGATGCCTACAATTCTCAAGTTCCGATGGTATGACTTCACTGCAGCAACAGAATAGGTCGAGTTCTCCGACCTGACGATGGTCTCCAAGTTCCTGAACATCGAAGCAGACAAATGTGGAGCCTTCGCAACTTCAGAAGGAATCATCGACAAGCAACGCATTCTACAAGGGAAAAGGACTTCAAGAAAAGGGATTCAAGACAGCCAGCAGAGAAGACTTGTCCTACGACACTTCCTCGTCGACTGCCAGATGTGACAGAAGGCGTAAGTGCAAGATCGGTGGGCAACAGTAAAGAAAATTCACTTTTTCTTCAAATGTCTTCAAGGGAGGCATCGAAAGGAGAGCTGCAAGAAACCACCATGTAAAGAATGCAAGAGATGGCTGGATGATGATGCTGGATGGATGACAGCAACCACCGATGGTACACCGGACCAAGCGGTGAGAAAAGAAGAGGCTCATCGGCCGGCACCAAGAACCTTCAAGAAGGCAACCATTGGCGAAAAAAAAACAACACAAACATCTCATCCATCACCAGACCCCGAGAGATTCTATTCATAGAAGAGACTTTGGCGAGCCACAGCGAGTGCAGTTCTTACAACTTTGCAGAAAAAGGGAGAAGGTCACCGCCTGCAAAAGAGAACCTGGAGAGAACTGGAAAATGTCACAACCAATGGAAATCGAACTACTTGAGCAAGCTAAAACTATTTTGCTGAAAAGAAGCCAAGACAGAAGTTTCAGAGAAGACATCAAGTGTCTTTAGCAAGGGAAGCAATTAGAGGGCAGCAGTAAGTTGAAAAGGCTCGATGTAGTAGTGCTAGAAGACGGTCTCCTGCGGCTGAAAGAAAGGATCGATGCGATACAGGGTGCAAGGACAAGACAACATAACTCATCATAGAGTAATTCCACTGCGGCTTCAATCATGGAAATCACTCAACGGTGATGAATGAAATACGACAACGCTTCTGGGTATTGGGTCTAAGGTCAGCAATCAAGGCAATTCAGCATCAATGACAGTGTTGCAAAACAAGGAAGGCAAGACCGCAACAAATGTCAACGGACAACTTACCTGCGGAAAGGCTGATGCATAGAAAACCTCCCTTTACGTGCACGGGCGTAGACTACTTCGGCCCGATGACAATCACCGTGGCAAGACGGCACGAGAAGAGATGGGGAGCTCTATTTACATGTCTCACAACAAGGTCTGTGCACATTGAGCTAACTCCTTCGCTCTCCACCGACAGCATGATCATGGCGCTGCGATTCGCCGCAAGAAGAGGGATGCTATAGAAGATCTACAGCGACAACGGGACCAACTTCGTCGGCACCGACAGAGAAATGAAAGAAGCGTTCGACACCTTGCAGCAGGAAGACCTCACCTCAGAAGCAGAAAAGGTCGGCGTGCAGTGGAATTTCATCCCTCTAGGTGCGCCAAATATGGGCGGCGCATGGGAACGTTTGGTGCGATCAGTCAAAACCACACTAGACGCCACACTCAACGAAAAGTATCCACGTGAGGAGAGAGAGAGAGAGAGAGCACTCCCCACTCTCCTTCTAGAAGCTGAACACATACTAAGCTCTCGATTTTTCACCCACCTTTCTGAGAACCTCGAGGAGGAAGCACTAACACCGAACCACTTCCTCATCGGATGGCCCTGCGGCGCAGCAAGAATCGGCAGGCAGGAACTACTCGTAGTTAGCAAAGATAGATAAATAACGCCAATCATGACTTTAGTTATTAGTAGTTTAATATTCAATCATGCAAAATTACACGAGTACTCCTCAATAGTTTCTTTTTGAAAGTTTTAGCAATCGGTATTATAATTACAGTGCAATCTCCGTAATTCGAGCTAATTGTTGCAAGAAGATGTTCGAATTATGGAATGTTTTCGGAAAAATCAAAAATATTTTTAATATACAGCTGCTGGATTTTCTGTCTTATTTAAATAATTTAATTTTGCCCACAGATGACTGATGCCATGTCCGAATCTAAAAAGAAATGTAGACAGTACAGTGTTGATTATTTAAAAATTTGGCTTCATTCCATCATTGCCGGACAAACAATCGCCTATGTGCCTTTTATGCAACAAAGTTTTGGGCAATGACGCTATGAAACCATCTAAACTGCAAGATCATCTGAGAAGATGCCACCCTGATAAAACAGAGATAGATTTGAAATACTTTCAAACACACAAAGATAAACTTCAGAAGAGACCTACACTGGACAGAATGTTCGCTTCGACGTCACAAAGAAATGATGATGGTTTGCGGGCGTATTACAATATCTCATTACTTATAGCAAAATCCGAAAAACGCATACTATCGGAGAGAAGTTAATTTTACCAGCCGTTGAAGTGGTTTTAAAAACTGTTTTACACAAACCTGCACCTGATATCATTAAAAGAATTCCCTTAAGCAACAATACTGTTGAAAGACATATTGATGAAATGAGTTCTGATATTGAAAGCTTCTTATGTAATTATTTGCAAACGACCCATTTCTCTATACAACTGGACGAGTCAACTTTACCTGATAATGCAGCATTATTATTGGTATATGTTCGTTTTATTATGAATCAAGAAATCTACGATGAACTGCTCTTCGCAAGAACTTTGATAACCGACACTAAAGGTGAATCAATATTTCATGTTTTGAAGGATTACTTCATTGAAAAAGCAATTCCTTTATCAAATATAATATCAGTAGCTACAGATGGAGCACCTGCCATGGTTGGACGTTATCGTGGATTTATAAGCTATTTAAAACAAAATGTGTCAGGGGTGTTAGCAATACATTGCGTCATCCATCGACAACATTTAGTTGCTAAAAATTTGAGTGTTAGATTGCATGAATCACTTCATTTAGTCATTGATGCAGTAAACCGAATCCGAAGCAACGCGTTGAATACACGGTTATTTGCGCAGTTGTGTGAAGAAAATGACGAACACTTTCATCAATTACTCCTTCAGACTGAAGTACTCTGGCTGTCGAAAGGCTTATGTTTGACAAGATTTTTTTGCACTTTTTGAGACTATTTTAGAATTTCTGGATACTAAAGATAAAATTTTAAAAGAAAATTTAATGAAGAGGAAAACAGACATCGCCTATTTAACAGATTTGTTTACAAAATTTAATATGGTTAATTTGCAATTACAAGGCGACAGTTTAAATTTGATTAAAACAAAGTCCATCTTATCAGCGTTTCTTGCCGGAGTTAAACTAATGAAGCAAAATATTGGACGAGGCGAATTTTCTCAGTTCCACAATTTGTCACTGACAAGCTGCCAGGAAGAAGACGTTTCAATTTACGTTCAACATTTAAATGCCCTCTATTCAGATTTTGAATCTAGGTTTGAGGATATTTTGGCTATGGTAATACCACCGTGGATAATTAATCCATATGGTGACATAGAAGAAACGAATGTCATACATAATACAAGAGGAACTGACTGAACTAAGTACAAACGAAGAACTTAAGGTTCAGTTTAAAACGAATATCAGCAATTCTGGCTGCAAAATACCATACCCGTTACTTATCCCGTATTATGGAATATAGCGAGGAAATTTTTAATTTCTTTTCCATCATCATACCTAGTGGAAAGGGGGTTCAGCGCTGTTTCCAATCTCCTAACGAAAATAAGAAACAGACTGGGCATCATTAGCCGAGGAGATTTAAGATTAACCCTTACAAAATTGTCGCCAAATATTGATAATTTATTATTAAAGCATCAGGTTCATCCTTCTCACTAGAAATATTGACTTATTGCTTATGTTATTTTATTTATAGTTTATTTTATGTTTATTTAATGTTACGTATATTTTACATAACAGATACAAAATTTTATTTTGAGTAGTTTTAATTTAAATTCAATTAATAAATGTATAAATTAACATGTGTTTTTACTTTAAGTTTCTAACAATAAACTTCACTACAGTAAGAAATTTACAGGAAATCAATATCATGTAAGTAGGGGGTCTACCCAACACGGAAAAACATGGCGGGTCTACGACACAAAAAAGTTTGGGGGAACTCTGATTGTAAAGTGACCATGAAATTCATTCCTCCCTGAACGAGTGTAGCCAAAACAATTCCACAGACGCGGGCACCCCTCATCAACCCAGATCCAAACCCACAAACAAAACGATATCTCAAACCACAACCACATATCACCCCACCACTATAGTACAATTCAATTATTAAAAAAAAAACAATAAAAACAATCCCTAGAGATAAATAGATCCATTACTTTTTTGAAATTAATTCACAGAGAAAAAAATTTATATAGATATCTGCCAGCTCAGATCACCTTCAGGAGTCATTCATACCACAATTGTGATCATCGACCAAGATGAATAAACTCCTCATTCTAAGCATGTTTAGTCTTTCTAATTGGATCAATATATTTGTTACTACCATACCAATCCCAAACAGCCTTCAATCCATAACTAGCTCAAACGACACCTCTCTGTCAGAGAAAATAAGATTCAGAACAAACTCCAGCATTGAATATCAACCATATCTCCCTCGACCCAACTGTGAGTCCCTCTTAAACATCAGGGATGAACAATACCCAGTATCTGTTTCAATATGGAAAATTGATCTTGCTGACTCTACAATCCAGGGGATTATGGTCTGGTCCGAATTGGTGTCCACCAAATGCACCTTTGATTTCAGGGGAGCAAAGTCAACTGACACCATAGGTACCAGTGTGATCACTCTCAAAGGACCGGTTAGTAAAATCAATTTTTCAAAATATTTTACAAATCCCATTGATGAAATAGTTGAAGACCCTGAAATCCCATGGGATCAAAGATATCTCTGTTACTATTGTAGGAATGGCTACCCAGGGCAATATGAGAGGACACTATATAAGAGGGTCATTATCTCAAGATATCCAGACGGTAGCATTAAGAGTCCAATAGGAAACTGGGTTCACATTACAAAGAATCTCTATACTGATGGAAAAAGATATCTATATATTACTTATAATTCTGACCAATCTGATGTAGGCCCTTTCAAAGTTCATGAGGTCAGATATGGATTTTTATCTGTGTCAACATCTAATACTCTAATTATATCACTTCCCTCAGTAAAACAAAAATACTCTATTCCTGAGGGAAGCGACTATTTAAATTTTAAAATAGGAGGTCACAATTCATTATTATGGCATACAGCAGGTGGATATATAATTTCCTTTTCTGGAGATGGAATACCCATGACTCCAAATATTCTAAATCACTTGTCTAATTCTTCAATCTCTACCAGACAAAAAAGAAGGGTGATTCCAGACATTATTAGACATAGGTTTACAATATTCAACTCAAGGAGAGCCAGAGGACCACGGGCAACTGATCCTATGGAATTCTCTTCAAATTTAAGATCTGATTTAGGATATGCCCAATTTAGATTTGAGATAAATTTTATATTGAAGCAAATAAATAAAAATCTCATTTTGATACAAAATAATATCTGTGATTTTCTACATCTTAAATGGACTACACTATATCCTCCAGACCTACCTCGTAAAGTTGCCCAATATATCACCCATTCTCCATTCGCC